CCACTGGGTGTGGGGGGGAAGTGAATGAGCAGCTGCGTGGTGCTGAGCTGCTGGCTGGGGTTAAACCACAACAACCAGTTATTGACAACATTACTGCTTAAGCATGCGTCTTTGCTAATTGAGTAATTCCTTGTTCTGGAAAACCTCACAGTTTAGTAATTTCTTGCTAATCCTGTTATATATACACAAACATACGCATGTACATATACATATGACGTACACAGACAGTTGCATGCACACAGAGACTTCCTACTTGCTTTGCTTATTTCCAAGGGCAGGATATTCCAGGCTGGGGCATTTCACATAGACTCCATAAATTTCTACTTTGACATGTACTATTTTGTAGCCTTCTTCTAGATTCCAGATTACAGCACTAACCTTTCATTGGCCAGAGGCTGGTACTCTTAAACTCTTCATTCCTAACAGGCCTACTCTGATGTCCAGGCTTTTGGCTCTGTAGGACTTATTTCCTGTGTTTTTCATAGAAACCAGCAATCTCTTGGTACTCTTACAGTGTGTTTCTTGCACTGCAGAGTTTCCCAGAACAGCAAAATTGTTTTCTGCCCAGCTTTTTTGAGAAAAGAGATTGTTGTCATTACTGATTTTTTTAAATTATTATTATTTTTTGTTGTTCTCACCCTGCTCACTTAATACTCTTTGTGTGGGCAGTTTCAAATGCTAGCCTAGATGACACAGGCGTTGTTATGCACCCACGTTGTTACACAAGTTTATACAACCAAAGAGAAGAAACCTTGGTTACTGAATGCCTAGGTCTCATCTGAAAACAAGGTTATGGCAGGACTGAGGAGTCATTGAGCAGATGCTGGGCTGAAATTAAAAGGGGGAGGACTTTTTTGATGGGAGGTCTCATAAAAGTCTACTGGGAAGACAGACTAGCCTCAGAGGAATGTTGTGCTGTGGCTTTACAAAAAAATTCACAGCAAGAGATGTTGTGAAGCACAGAGAGTGGCTGATTCTTGCAATGGAGTAGAAGGTTAATGGAGGATATCAGAAGGGACAGATTTAGGTGGCTTCTTGGAGAACTGTACTGTATCCATCAAGAAATGCAAGCAGGAACGTACCTTCAAAAAAGGAATATAAAAATCTGATGCTCCTTTTCTTAGAGCCTTGCAATGGTGCATCCTCACTGGTATTGCGTCCTCACTGGTATTGCTTAATGGACACTGCTGATATATATGGTGAAACAGTAAAGACGCAATGAACCATACGGTGCACTGGACGAGGGATGAGTAAGTCTGTACAACAGGGCGGGCAGGGGTTGAGCTGCTCCCTCTGTGCTGGGAATTGGTAGAGTTGAGGGCAAAAGTGTCCTGGCTAGTTTGACCAGGAAAAGAATTTTTGTTTAGAGCTTGCAGAAAAGCAGTGGCCTCGTGCCAAGGTCAGTGGGGCTGGAAATGCACTCCCTGCAGTTAAAAATACGGGGACGTTCCTACATAATGGGACTTTAGAGAGGAGATCTGGCAAAGCCGTGAACGTCTGATGATTTTGATGCCTTAATATTTAGCTGTCCAGCAGCTGATAGCTTCATTGATGGTGTTTAGGGCGAGGTTGTCTCGTCCTGTAATGCAGTCCTGGTCTGAAGAGAAGGTCTGAGAATACCAAAGCTCTACAGGAGAAATAGGGACCAGAGTTTATTTCAGTTACTCCCTTCCTGTGTGGAAACCAGGAGATGTTCCCAATGGGTGGTCACTGAGCATAGGCGATAACATGTCCCTCTCCTCAGGAGCTCTCTGCAGCTGGTTGGGGAAGTTCACTGCCTTGGGAAGCCATTAAATTAAATTGATACTAAATCTGAGGAGGGCTGGGGTGGGGTGGCTAGAATGGCTTGATAGAGCATTAACACCATTTGCTACTTATTAAGAGGAAGGTGATTATGCTTTGGGGCATCCAATGATCACCCATTCAGCCAGGATCCTTAGTAGGAAGTATTCCTTTTTCAGTCTTATGTCTTTTATCCCTCCCTGGTGTCACGTTTTGATGACTTTATTGGTTGCTGCCTTAAATAGGTTCCCAGTAAAATCCTCATTCTTTTCATGTTTTAATAGGATTATCATACAAGATGACGATGTTTGTACCTAAGCCAAAATACACAATAGTTTACATGCAGAATAAGTGAAACCATCTAGAAACTGAATTTTCTAAAGATCAGCTCTTCAAACACGCCCAGCCCACAGGGAAAAGGCAAGTTGCTGTTGAATCAATAATGAAGCAATAAGTTTCAAGGCTGTGCCAGGAAAACAAGGAAATGTCTCGCCTCTCTGATGCCTCCTCGCATCCTTACCTACGGAGGAAGTTTTTTGTACCATCAATTACTGATTCACTCAGTCCAGGGAAGGGCTGCTTTCCAGTTTGGTTTGAATGCCGGTCCTCTAATCAGCTGGAGAAAAGGAGTCACTTATATAAGCCAAGTGAAAGGAAATACTTCTGTGATACAGCTCACATGAATAGCTAGGACTGAGCGCCGGTTGACTCCTGAAGTCCAGCTTCTGCATCTTCTCACCCCATTTCTTTAGGGCTGTGTTGACTGGGAGAAGTGGCGATTTGGGAGGCTTTCCTCTTCTTACTGGTCTTTCTTTTTTCAAGGCAGTTGGTGAAGGCAAGTGGAAGGCATGATCCCCTCCTCAGACAAAGAGCTCAACGGGCTAGATAACCCCAGCTTCGTGGTGAGTCTGCTCATCTCTGAAGGGTAATTCTTGCATAAACGGAGCAAGCCCTGCGAAAGGAGGAGGACGGGAGAGCCAGGGGGCTTGGGCTGGCTGCAAGGATGCTGGTGTGTGGTAACGTCTGTCTCGTCTCCTTTATCTCAGGAATCCGAGGAATGATTTCCTCAGGACAGCCTGCTGCTGCTGCTGAAGACTCAGCATACTTTCTACTCTCTGGTGCCCTTTTAAGTTCTTTTCTCTGCATTATTTCTAAAACGATAGCATAGATGAATGGCAGTGCAAGTGTGTCTGTACTGAAAAGCAAGACAGCTCGTGGCTCCTTGTGGCTGTGTCCCTGGGTAGAGCATTTAACAGATTAGTAAAATTACAATAGATATTTAGCCTAGTGAAGAATGTGTTTCTGTGTCTTCTGGACCTATTTCTAGTGGGTGAATTGTCAGAGAGGTGGGTGAAAAAGGGATTGGGGAGTCTGCTGGGGAGGGCACCCTGTAGAGCTACAGCAGGGTAGTAAAAGCTGTAAACGGGGTGTGCAGTGCCCTGGAAATGCTGCGGGCTGTAACAGCCATAGGGTGAGGGCCTGGGGCAGGGCAGCCCCCTTCCTATCTCCAGCAGAGGGGTCACCTCCACCAGAAACGAAGAGAGCTGCGTACGTTCTGACAGCAGGAGTGGAGTGGGGTCCTGCATCCATCTTGGTACCTGGGTACAGACCACCCGTCCGGGCGTTTAACCTGCCGGTGTACGTGTCCCCCATTTCTTGGGTAACTCTCGGTGGGCTTGCTGTGAGCACTGGAGGTGGGGGGCTGTGCCAGCGGCGAGCAGAGCCTCAGGGAGGTGCTCCGAGCAAGTCAGAGGTTTTCTGTTGCTGTTCTTAACAGGGTCTCTTGTTTCTACCTGTTCTGCCATAATGCGGATCAGGCTTGTGACTTCCTCTGGTTTGAATCGCCCCAAAGAAGGTGGAAGACAGAGGGCTTTTACCTGCGGTTCAAGCAGTTCCGTTTCTGACTGCCTTCCCGATGCGCTTATTTAAGATGCTGTGGAGGGCCTTGATTCTGTGCCAGGAGCCTGAGGCACACGGAGGGTGTCCTGGTCCCCTGGGTTCATGGCAGCAGCGGGGCTGAGACCCCCAGCAGCGGTTCCCCTTCCCTGCTCCAGACCGCTCCTGCCTTGTCCTCCTGCCAGCATCTCGGCATCACAGCCCGGCTGAGGTTGGAAGGGACCTCCGAGGTCAACTTCTCCAACCCCCCTACTCAAGCAGGGTCACCTAGAGCCGGTTGCCCAGCACTGCGTCCGGACAGTTTTTTAATCTCTCTAAGGATGGAGTCTCTCCGGGCAACCTGCGCAGTACTTGTCAGCTCACAGCGAAAAAGCGTTTCCTGAAGTTAAGACAGGACCTCCCGTGTTTCAGCTTGAGCCCGTTGCCTCTGGTCCTGTCTCGTCCTGTTATCTCGGCTCCATCCTTCTCCCGCTGAGCCCTGCTCGCTCCCTCCAGCTCCTGGGGGAGGTTTCCATGTGATGATCATGCGGGGCTGTTGCTGGCACAGGCTCTGCCCGGTTGGAATATGCCTCCTGGTTAACATGGGAAAAGTTGCAATGCAAGGAAAGGAGCTTACCGCTGTCTGCCTAGCTTAGGATCCGTCTACCCGTGGTGTTATTCAGGAGTAGCTGTCCCCAAATAACTCCGGGCATGGGCAGTCTTAAGTACCTTGCTGTACAATTGTTAATCCACGGCTCTGGGCTCTCTTCTTCTGAAATGAAAACGTCTCCCCAGGGAGTTATTCAGGAATGCCTTTTGGTCTTGAAGTTCATGCCTGAGTTCAGTTTGAATTAACTCTGTCTTCACCTATCTATTTTGAAGTATTTGTAATGCTCCCAGCCTGCCTAGGCTGGATAAATACACTGCGTTTAAAAGGTATTACATAGCACATTTTCAACAGCGTGATCTAAAATGGGACTTTGGAGACTCAGCCATGGGAATCGAAACCTGGAGGTTTCAGGCAAATGACAAAGTCCTTCAGGATTAATCTGCCACACCTGCAAAATTTACAACTGAACATAACATTAATTTTACATCCTTATTCCCTGACCGCAGCGTTAGCTGTTTGCCTCCATCGGTAGGTAGGCTGTGAGCGTTACTGCAGGCACCTCTCTTTGCTGGGCATTTCGGTGTCCTCAGGTTCCAGCAGGACTTGGAGGATTAAAAAAAAAAAAAAAAAAAAAAGAAGTTTGCTGCTGACAAACTGGTTGAACTTCTCCTGACAGCAGGTTTCTGTCCCTGCCTGACGGAGAAGGGCATCCCAGCCCAGGAAAGCCCTCCGCTGCTGGCATGCCAGGGACCGGCTGGCTGGAGAAGGGTCGATGAAACAAATGGTTTGGGATCTTAATTACCTTTTGCATTTGGCTCAAAATGTTGTGGCTTTCCAGGCAGCCTCCCTCTACCACATGCGAGTGTGTTTGGCAGGGGGGACGTATACGTGCAGGCGGGATGTGCGTGGGATGTATGTGCGCATGGGGTGCGTGTTGCCCAGGCACAGTGTGTGTGTGTGTGTGCACGTGTGTGTGTGCGCACACATGTGTGCACAGGGGTCAGGGTGGGTTGGAAGGAGGAACGGACGACTGGGGGCATTTACTTAGCTTAAAAGCTGTGGCAACTGAAGCAAAGTAATTATTTTTATTTTCCTTGGCAAAACGCGTCTTTGTATAACTAAACTCTGTGAGGCGTACGGCTCCCTGGGGAGCCCCGGGGCTTCTCGCTGCCTGGGAGGGGATCCCAGCCTTCCTGGGGGGCTACTTCAGAGCCCACCACCTCCCTGAGACCCCAGGTCCCCAGGCTGTGTCCAGGTCCCCGGTGCTGCCCCCACCCTGGGGCGTCCCTCCGGGTGCCATTCCCCATACCTGGGGCAGCACCCCGGTACCCTGCTCCCAGTCGGCTCCTTTGAAACGGACGCTGGGACGCCCCATCCACTGGTGTCCCTGCGTTTCGCCCTGTTCCTCTGTAGGAACGAGTTGTTCTAGTAAGACACGGGGCAGGTGTGTTTATCGAGGCAGAACGTTTGTAAGGGTGAGCGTCAGGAGACTGGAAAGAGGAAGGCTTAAGAAAACGAAATATAAAACATGCTTCTGCTCTGTCATTAGCGGTGGCGGAGTTGTTTTAGCATATTTTATCAAAAGCGCTGTTTGGGTGGGACGGCCAGGAGGGACAGAGACCAGGGGACAGCGCAGCTTTCACCGATTAACCCGCTGCACACTCTTCCTTGCTTCTGGTTGCAGTTTCTCCATCCTTAGCTGGACATTAATGATACTAACGCACTTTGTCCAGATGTCCCTTTGAGGTTGAGACACCCTCTAATGTTTCTTCTGGTCTAGACACACACGTGCATACAGAAGTTTTCCACAGGTGTTTGTACCTCTGTTTTAATTTCCCCCCTCGCTCTTCTTTTTTATCCCGTTGACAACTACGCACAAGGTGTTCCCGCAAGACGTGGAGCGTGGCCGCAAGAGAGGCGGCTGCTGGCTGCCTGCAGGGCCGGGCTGTGGCTAACGAAGGCTCTTCCCTGTTGTCCAGGGTGAAGATGGGAGCCGCTCCTGCTCCTCGACGGATTGCGCTGCCCGGGACCCACGGAAAGGCAGAGGCACCGGCCACGGCGGCAGCAAGCTTGCCTACACCATCACCGATGTGCCCCCCTGGTACCTGTGCATCCTTTTGGGCATTCAGGTGCGACGGGGGGGGGGAGCAGGTGGAGGCTGGGGGTGGGTGGAAGTTTAATGGCTCTGCAGCTGGTTAAGGGGGGTGAAACCTGATTTTGGGAGTGCTTTACCTTCGCTGGCCATGACTGGAGTCCTTCCCACCGCCCCCCGAGCACCCACGGTTATCCTTGTGCCCATCGCTGCGCTGCGCCTCCTGAAGCGCAAGTGGGGAGGCAGAGTCCCGGGGCTGGGGCCAAAGAGTTAATACGAGCAGGTTGGATGCCTCAGCTGAAGGCAGCCAAATGCGTAAGGGCTTCTGAACTTCTGCCTTCCCACGGCAATAAGAACTAAGCAGAAGGGCCCACGCTGCTTTGGCTGGTGTCCGTGCCCAGGTGTGTTAAATGACCCAGTGCCACCAGTGCCGTGCTGGGTACAGAGCCTCAGGGAGGAGAGACCTCAGAGTCATTGAGGTAACGATGGACTGTGCTTGGAGCTTGGTGGGCAGTTTGTACTTTGTTTCCTTAAACAGTCATCTCACATTTAGAGTGTATTAAACCAAGGTTTTCTGAACACATCTGCATCATAATTTTAATGAAACGTGCCTCTAATGAACACAGTGAGTTTCTGAATGCCACCAGCTCCACTACTGCAGTCCTGTGCTCTGAGGTGAGAACTAACTACTAAGGTTAATTATTTAAAGCAAAAATAAGTTTTAAAAGTTATTTTCAGATTTAGTAACTAATGGAAGGTATTGTAGAAATATGTCTGTGACTCTTCTGAAAAATGCAATGCCTGATTTTTCCATTCTTTGGAATTTTTTACGGTTATCCATAATTGCACGTTTAAGAAAAGCTACTGATAGCAAAGAATGGGTAGCCCCAATTTGCCAACTTTTTATGTTATCCTTTGTGGTGCAAATGAGATGGACTGAAGCACTGGCATTCACTTTGCCTGATCACCCTCTCCCTTTACCTTGGGATGTCCCCACCTTCCTGGAAGAGTCGCCCCGACTGCTTTGTCTGCAGGTGCTGGGGGTAAACTGGTTGTGTCTGACAGTGGTCTGGGGAGTCCAGAGCACTACAGAAGGTCTTTGGGCACGGCAAGTGGGAGAAGTTTGGGGGGCTGCATTGCAGTTCTTGTAGGTGCTTTGGAACAGCCCCTAACAGAGCATTAAAGCTGCCAAAAAAAGAATGGGTAATGCTAGTATCACCCAAACACTTGTGAGTTACTTTTAGATTTCCCTCAACAACTTGGTAATAATATACAGCCAGTTTGGTGTCCTTCTTCACCCAGTCTTTCTCTGTGGCTCCTAGCATTTCCTGACAGCCATGGGAGGTCTCATAGCCGTCCCGCTGATCCTCTCCAAAGAGCTTTGCCTCCAGCACGACCTCCTCACCCAGAGCCACCTGATCAGCACCATCTTCTTTGTCTCAGGGATTTGCACCCTCCTGCAAGTCTTCTTCGGAGTCAGGTAGGCCAAATGCAAGAAACGGGACACGTGACAAAACAGTTTGTAGATGCAATTACTACGTGCTCGGCCACCAGTCTGCTGTAGAGTTCGTCTGTCAGGGAGGGACGTTTGCTGCCCTTCGGCAGTCGGGGCACGTGCCAAAGCACCCTGAAATAGCTGTACGTGATGGCTGTGCAGGGCTACCTCGCTGTTCTGACTTTTGCATCTCCTGGTACTTGATGCACCTTTGGTTTGGCTAATAAGGAGTGTGTCCTGCAAAATAATAAAGTGTTGAAACATGCATTAAACAGTATCTGCTTGCTGCTTATCCCAGGGATCCTCCAACTGAGGCAGGACCCTTCTTATCTGCACCTGGGATCAAGGGAGCACAGATCCTGTAGGAAACTCTAGGGCTGGGGATAACTGGGAGAAATTGAAGCCTGTCTGCCACCGTTTTGGGACTCAGGGAGGAGCTCTGCAGCACGTCCTGTTAAGTGATGCCACTTCCCATGTTCAGGGATTTGTGGCACAATCTAAATGTAAGCAAGGTAAATCCTCTTTGCTGCTGAGCTGTTGAAGAGCTGGTGGTGAGGAGATGAGCATGGAGTTGCCATTCACTACCCAGAAAATGAAATACTTAATAAGAGACATGACTGCAAGCACTCCCCCTTGCCACAAAGACCCTGTATCTTTGCTAGCCTTGCAAAATTTCTTTTATTCCCCTTGTCATAACACTGGGGCTGTTCCTCTCTTTCCACAGGCTGTTTTTACCTCCAATATGGTGGGAACTTGTGTTTCTTGCCTCAAAGGCAAAAATCACACATTCTTTGACTTCTGAATCTGAAGGACTTGGTTAAAACTCTTCTACCATCAAATCACTGGTCAACTGCCAGCTCCACAAAATGTTTTTACTTCTCCTGTTTCTTTCCCTAGTGCAACTTTTCCATCTCTGTCTTAGGAAATGGCTGTAGGCAAACCTCTCCCCGGAGGGTGCTCCCCTTCTCCTACATTACAACAGGATTAGTGGAGGTGGGGGGGACACCCTGGCCACAAAAAAGACAGAATCCAGTTCTTCTCAGTTTGGTTAAATTCAGGCTGGGGTGCTTGAGCGCGGCTGCGGCTGCTGGTGCGATTCAGGCTGGAGTCCTCCCAGGCAGCCCCCGAAACGCCTCGGTGAATACCTGAGAGCTGTGACGTCCCGGCTCGCTGTTAGCTGAGGCTGAAAGAGTAGCAGGGAGCCTCTCCCGGGGGTGAATAGCTAAATGAGGAACAAGAGCTCAAATTAAGTGGTGAGGAGTTCTTCCCATAAGATAAGCTTGAATGGCTTTTGCTGTGCTGAGGATGCAATTGCCTTGTTGCTGGCCCCAACTGTAAGGCAGGAGAACATTCCTGCAGGGAAGGTGGGACTCAGCCTGTGGTCAGAGGCAAACCAAGCCTGAGGAGACAGTTGGAAGCAGGTTTTTGGTTTTTTTTCTCCTTTTACTGTTTTCTAAAACCCTGTAGTAGTTGATAGCCATAAGTCACCAGCAAGACAGCCAGAAAAGTGGTAAATAACGAGTTGGAAGGGATGCTTTTTCCTGGAAAACATCCGTGCCACTCTCCAAGGCCTGGGGAGCCCTCAGCTAAGCACTCTGCATGGTTCCCGGTGTCTGTATTTGAGAAAGACTAATTCAGAGGAGAAGAGGTATGGAGATGATCTGTTCACGTGGCATGGGGAAGGCAGACCATGTGTCTTAGAGAGGCTGGCCTGGTTAGCGTGGCAAAGGGGCGGCTCACAGGGGTACGGCTGCAGCCTGCAACTGGTCTGGGAGAGAAGTAGGGGGGCATCAGGCAGGAGAAACCATTTTGGCTAAAAGACAATGTTGGCACATGAACGAACGGATGGGAACTGGCCGTGAAGCTGGGGAGGTTCCCACCAAGAGCGAGTGCAGTTCAGAAGCAGCCTTCCAGATGCAATAGCCAAGAGAAAAGCCTGACCCCCTGCAACCTGCAGCTCAGTCATGTTACACAGCGTGAAAAAGCAGCGACGGGTCCCAGACAGTCACTGGAGACACTGTCCAAGAGGGTCCTGAGGGGAGAGACAGGTCGCTTGCCATTACGGTGAGCTCTTCTTAGCAGACGCTTGGACATCATGTAGTGATGATCAGAGCGTGCCATTTCCTTCCCTAAACCTGCAGCTTTCCCTCTTGCAAACCCCGCTGGAAAGAGCTCAGCGTACCCTGTATGCATCGCCTCAGCACCCCCGTTTGCCCTAAGCCCACCCGTGCCAGCACTGGCTGTGAAATAGCTCGAGGGCCAATGCAGCGGGAGCTATAAATCTATTGTTAATTCAACAGTGGTGGCACTGGGCCTTCTCTGTTTCTTTTTGTTTGCTTTTTGCCTTGCCCAGCAAAATCCTTTGAAGGCTGCAACATATTTGGCCGAGTGCCGTAAATAAGTGACTCCACGGATGACTGATATTCAAATATAACTTACTGGCAAAGCTTTGACAGTGCTTTGGTTGTGCATGGCATGAGTAATTGCAGTGGTAAAATATTTGTTTTAGGTGACAGAGACGTGGTGCTGATACAGCTATGCCGTCTCTTATTTTTCAGTGCTTTCCAGAGAATGGTGGAAATGCCTCTGGTTCAGGGAAATCCATGCCCTACAAAAGCACTCGCCCGGCTCGTTGCCCCGCTGCTTTTCTGAGCAGGCAGCACAAGAGGTCCTGGCGCAAGGAGAGGTTGCTTTGGGGGCAGCTTCCTAAATGGAGGAACCAGAGGCACCTCAGAGTTCTTCCTCAGCTGGTTCAGAGCTGCTGTGCCATCCTGCGCCCTCGGGCAGCTTTGGATTTTTCGAGCACGTTAGAGGAACAGCCAAAACGATTTGCGCTGTAGTGGGGGCTTAATGCCTGCAGGGCTTTGGAGAGCCAGTCAGGACTTTGAGGTCTCTGTCTCTGCTTCCGCTGTACAAAGCTCTGTACAAAGCCGGTGCTGAGCATCTCTGGAGGTGCGAGCTCCTTGCTATATAGCCTGAGGCTCCCCAGAGTGAGGGTTCCTCTAAGCCAGGAGACACACGGCGTGGGGGGAGAGCCATGGTCTCAGACCCATCCATGCAGGTCTCCTTTTCAGTGTCCGTGGAAACAGGGCAGAGGAATTAGCTTTAAAACCTGGTGTACTAAAAGCCAAGTCCCGTTTTCCACTGCCTTCAGTCTGAGGATGGTTGTGACGTGGGGAGCAGCCAGTGCACGTCCTTGTGTTCACCAGCAGGTTGTGAAGAAAACTGAGGCAGCTGAAAGGGACAGAGGAAGCAAATGGATATTGGCAAGATCTGGGCCTGGGTTGATGCTGAGCTTTTCTTCAGAGTCTCACCATCTTTCTTCCTTGGTCTTCTCCCCTTCTCCAGCTTTTTCCTTTGGTTGTTGTTTTACTCTGTGCAGCTCCGTTGTCTCACCATGCCTTAAGAGGACTGCTTTTTCCTTAACGTGGGGTAGCAGAGTTTGACTGCAGCACTGATGTGTCCCTCCATTGCTAGTGTTTGAACCTGAGCTCTTCCCGCCCCGGGTCATTGCTCTTGAGTGCAATGGGCAGCAATTCCCACCCATGGTCAGTGCTGGAGACCTGCCAGAACATTTCAAAAGATACTGCCAGAGGCCATGTGCAGACTGATTTTTAAATTTATTTTGCTTTCCTTTCTCTCACCCCCTATGCAGCTGGGTTTCTAGCATTCCCACTCATCATCTTTTCCCTCTGCTCTCCTTCCAGGTTGCCTATTATTCAAGGAGGGACTTTTGCATTCCTGACCCCCACCCTGGCCATGCTGTCTCTCCCCAAGTGGAAGTGTCCTGCCTGGACACAGAACGCCACCCTGGTGAATGCCTCTTCACCAGAGTTCATCGAAGTCTGGCAGACGCGGATGCGAGAGGTATATTACATTTTCAGCGGCACCTGCTCTGTATCAGGGCTGTTTGCTTTCAGAAGAGCGCCTGACCGTGGCAGGGCCATCATTGCTGGAGAACCCTCCATCCCCAATGGACCTTGGCCCTCACCCCGTTGCAGCTTCCTAAGCATCTATTCTCTGGCAAAAAAGCAGGTGCTTCACTGCTGCTGAACGGGGGACACGCAGACCTTGGGTGATTTATGGTCCCTGCCAAGTCTCCACTGGTCCAGCCAGATTCCTTCTCCATGAAGCATGGGTAGCCTTGAGGAAGGAAGGGAGGGAAGATGTTTCCAAGGAAGGGACCCTGTCTAAGCACAGGAAACCTAGTAAAAAGAAATGCGAGGGCAAAACTTACTGTAAATATTACAGAAAAGTGCATTCTTAGGTAGTCAAAAGAGAGGAGGAGAGGTCAGGGATCTCACTGTCTTGTTCTACATCTATTGCCTCATCAGAGTAAGTGGCTAAATTTGCCTCTGTCGATCTGATCGTTGGGGTGCTTTGCAAAGCACTTGGGAAGTGCTGCGAGCTCACGAAGGATTTGCTGTGCAGCACAGGCTGCCCTCCCTACTGGTACATGTAAATCTATCACAAGGGCACCGCTGCCTTCTCCCTTCAGGCTGGGAGAAACCCCGGCCCTCGTGTTCGTATTCCCTCTGGAGCTGGGGAAGGCAAGATGCTCAGCACCACAGAGGACAGAGAGCAGCCTCACCTGCATGGAGCTGACATGAGCAGTAAACGGCATTTCAGGATGTAATTGCTGGCTACTTAGCAGTGATTGTCCAACACAGGAAAGTTCAGGGTGATAAATGTGTCCCCGGAGGGAAACCAATATTCAGAAAAAACCAGAGGCTGTAATGACCCACCTGCCCTACCGTTGTGCTGAAGTGCCCCAAGCCCTTCCCAGATGGGAGATGAGTAAAGACCATGGCCCTGCTCCCGTTTTCGGAGCAAAAGCTTTTCCCATGCGTTTTGGGGGAGCAGGAGGAGAGAGCGCAGGTAAGCTGATGCATGCTTGGGTGGCCCAAGAGGACGGGGAGGAAGGGGTCTCTGGAACAAAATGAGGTCTAACTCCATCAGCCAAGGGGGGAATTGGTGTATTGGTGTGCTGGTACTTTGGTGGTCCTTCCCCACACGGAATGCTCAGCCAGGCTTTGCTGTAGTCAGCGGGAGGCCCCCTTGCCAGTCTGTCGCTGGAGGCTGAGACTGGCTCTGACGCTGGATTTGCACCAACGTACGAAGCAAAGGCTCAACGCCTGGAGCTCACTTCAACCTCTGCTCTCTTCCTCCGTTTTTCCAGGTGCAAGGAGCTATCATTGTAGCTTCCTGCTTTCAAATCTTGGTTGGATTTTCTGGCCTGATCGGATTTCTGATGAGGTTCATCGGCCCCCTGACAATTGCCCCCACCATCACCTTGGTTGCGCTACCTCTCTTTGACTCGGCTGGGGACGAGGCTGGGCAGCACTGGGGCATAGCATTCATGTAAGTCTCCCTTCCCTGTGGGAAATCTGAAACCGCCTACCTCTAATACGAAACTAAGTGTTGCAGCCTGTAGCAGAGTTCCCCTGGGTTCGAGGTTTATTTGTTGAGCGCTAACGTACGGCAGGCTTGTGCAAGGCAGCAACGTGGCATAGTTCCCCCACCCCCAGGAGGTTAGAGCCCTCAGCAACAAAGCAAAACCCCCAAAATGAGTTAAAAAATCTGATTTTTGTGAAAATCCAAAATTCATGGGTCAGCAGAGAAACGTCTTTCCCCTGTGTTGTTCCTGGGGTCAATCTCCATCATAGTTGTGTGCGTACACTGTCTTACACACCCATTATTTAAGTTAAAAAGACATTCCTAAAATGACAAAGTTGGGCACTCAGAGTTAGGTATTCCTTGAGTTAAAATAGCTGGTACTTTATGTGTTGTTTTCGCATGATGAAGAGGAGTTGTTTTCTCCACAGAGGGCCTGGGGGGCTCTGGAAATGTCTGTGCGTGTGGCTTTGCAGCATTGAGTGCTCTTTCAGGCACATCGGTGTGAGTGCCCTTGTGCATGAGTGTATGAGTGTGCTTGGTGGCAGAATTTCCTTGGTATTTCAGAAATGAATTAAAAAAGTAGAGATGCCACTGTGTGGTTCCCCTGCAGATTTGGCACTTTCAGATCCCTAATGCAGACTTCAGCTTGGGATAACATGCAACAGGAGTAGGTTGTTACCCTCTCTATGGGCTCCCATCAGTTTGCTAGTGCTTTCCGAGCTGCCTTTGGAGACTCAGGGTCCGGGCTTGACTGCAGCCCCGGGAAGGCAGCGCGCTGTTGTGGGGACGTGCTCCAGTCCACTGCTCTCTCATTCTCTTCTCCTCCCTGCACCTGCCCTCCCAGACCCCAAAAGCCACCTCTCTTCACCCCCAGTTCCTCACCTAACTGGTCTCTTCCACCAGCATCCCATACAACTCCAAATCCTGCCTGCGACCCAGCTTTGCTTTCACCATTGTTTTTCCCACCACATCTCTGGCTTGTTGTCCTGTTCTCCAGCTCTGGTGATTTGTCCTAGCCCCTTTGCTTAGCCAGTCTGAATTTTCCCTTCAAACTGTATATCCTTGTCTGGACTACCTCCTTTTTCTGCCTCCCTTCTCCAGCCACTGGCTCCTAACCTCAGACTCTCGCTTGACTTCTTTGTCCAACTGTGCTGCTCCATTAACAGGGTCCCAGTCCTCCAGCCTGTGCCCCTACTCTCAACCCGGGTCACCCTTTCTGTCTGGTTCATTTCTGTCCCATCTTCTACCCGTACTAATCCCAGTCCTTTCCTTCCTGACTCAGACACCTTAGCCCCAACCTGATCGTTGTGCTCTGAGCCATCTCAGTTGTGTCCTTTTTTGCTGCCTTCTCCATGCTCCACGAGTGTCATTAGGAAAAGAGGGAGAGCAGTGATGAAGAAGGTGGAAGACATGAGCCATGTGGTCTCAGCCCTTCTGTTCAGCCCCACCACATCCCAGAGCCCCCATGATGGGCGATACCCACTGTTGCCTCAAGAAACTGGTCTAGTGTGTGCTCACTCGCTCCCTGGTGATGGTCCATACACAGTTCATTGCTGGGCAAGGCTGGGATGTACTCAGAAGACTCAGAATCTTTATGGGCTGCAAATGCTAAAGCCTGAGATGTTTCTCCTGTCTGCTTGGGACCTGGGATGAATGATCATTGTTACAGACTGAGCATACCTGAGCAGATTTTTGTGAGAAAGAGCAGTATCCTTTACCCCAAAGAAAAAGTTCTACTAAATGTCAAATTTCTCCTCCAGGTAGTAAGCAGACCTTGCTACTGCTCAAGGCAAAATGACCTCTTAAGACAGGCTAGGTACTATGTCTATTTCCTGAACATCACACTTTGAAATAGGTTTGGGATATATTTTTCCAGAAATACTTGCCCTGAGGCAGACGTTTTCCATGGAAATTTTCATCCTGAATGGGTAAAGTTAGGCAGAATTATAAGCAGCTGAAAATAGCATTTGTTAATGGAATGTGTCAGGCAACCTGAATAACAAGCAGTGACACCTACCCGAGACAGACGACTGCTCTGCGGTGATTCATAAGGCTGTGAGCACCTTTGTTAGTGCAAACGCACAAAATGTGCACTGACGCAGTCTGTCTGGGCTCTGTAGCTTTAGAAATGGAAACCAGTTCCTCCTCAGACTTTCTGCCTCCCGTCATTCGCTGCTTTGAATTGTGACCGATAGATAACCTTTGGCTGTATGTCGTGGTGTGTCTGCGGCGAGGTGAGGTCAGCGTTTCCTTTGCACTGCTGGTGTTCTGCCTGCCCGTGAATATTGCACCTACAGCTCGTCACCTTTTCAGTCGTGGAAAACTACCAGTTTTCCCTGCACTGTCAGTGCACTTCAGCTGGTGCAATCCATTTCTCACCAAATCCTATCTGGATGAATTCACTCACAATTTAGACCTGTTATAAAAAAAAAGAGCCCTTCAGAGGCCTGGTTAACACAGGAGGAAAATGTCCAAGGTCTTCTACCAGCTCAGCAATCAAGGTGGGCTGCCCAGTCTGTGCTCCCTCCACCTTCATCTGGTTGCCCGTTCTGGGGGGACACATGTACGGCGGGCAGACAGGTCTTGCTGTGAGCGCACCCGGCTGTGCTGCCGTTCCCAGGGGCCGTGTCCTACGCGAGGGATGGGAGAGGAGCTGCACCTCATGGTCGCTGCCACCAGAACGAGCCCCCGGTGTTGCCGGGGGCACACATGAGCACCCCTGCCTTGGGGGACCCCTCCGCTGTGCAGCCCCACAGTCCCACCGTGGCTTTTTTTCTTTCAAAACAGGCACTCGCACAGCTGAATCAAATCCTCTTTCTTTTACTCTGTGCCATTTAGGAGCTTTTTGCCACTTGCGGCGCAGCATCGGTAAACCTGAAATCAGGAAACCAATAAATCCTGTGTTTCCAGTGTATCTGAATTACACAGAGATTCAGGGACAGATTCCTACATAGCCCGCCTGGACCTTGCACATTTCTCAGGTCTTTCTTTTACTCAAGTGTCATTTTTTAAGTTTCCTGCAACTGTGTCGTACTCACTGATGGACTGTCTGGGGGATCAGTCTTGAAACAAAAGGGGGGGAAAAAATGCTCGCAAATGCAGAGGAGCGATGGGTGGAGTATGATGGAAAGCTTGTTCTACCTCAGGCTTGCTGGGGTGGGGAGCCACCCTCCGGTGCTGAGAGCCTGTTTTTGGGGTCCTCTGGAGTCCTGGGTCCGTGGGTAGCAGGTCTTCAGTTAATGTGGGGACAGGTGGGCAGCTGGGCGCCCGCTTTGTCTCACGGTCTGGTTTTCCCTCCTCCTAGGACTATTTCTTTTATAGTTCTGTTCTCTCAGTACCTGAAGGATGTCTCTGTGCCGCTGCCGTCTTACCAGAGAGGCAAGAAGTGCCACCTCTCTCCGGTCTACCTCTTCCAGATCTTCCCGGTACGTTGGGGTTTTTGGAGACCCAGCGATCATGGCAGAGGGATTCTCCTCACCCTCCCCGGGCTGCCTGGGCTCTTTCCACTCCTGTCCAGCCAAATTAGCGCTTCCCAGGCCAGCCTGCGTGGTGAGCGGGCAGAGGGGGAGAAGGTCCCCATGGCCCTGACTGTGGGGAGGGTGGGAAGGAGGGAGGGCCACCAGGACCCTCTGCCTCCATTCCACGTGCCAGGAAAAGGGTTGGGTGGAGAAGACACTTTGTCCCCCCCGAACTGTGCCGGAGACACGGCCGTACCCTAATGGGACCCCACTGCTGCGTGTGATGGGCAGGTGCTGCTGGGGCTCTCCCTGAGCTGGCTGCTCTGCTACGTGCTGACGGTGACCGACGTCCTCCCCGCAGACCCCTCCATCTACGGCCACCTGGCCCGGACGGACACCCGTGGGGACGTTTTGTCCCAGGCTCCCTGGTTTCGGCTGCCTTACCCAGGTACCGCTACTCCCCCCAGCTTTTTCCCATCCCGCCGTGCTGCTCCCCGCTCCGGCTTGCGCCTCCGCTTATGCCAAAAATCAGGCAAACACCCGCAAACATCCCCCCTGTTCTCTGCGCCCCAGCCCGCCATAGATTTCGGGGCAAACGTGCCCCACCAGCCCGAACCGAGCTCTTTACTTGCAGGCCAGTGGGGAGTGCCGACCGTCAGCCTGGCTGGGATATTCGGCATCTTAGCCGGGGTGATTTCTTCCATGCTGGAGTCCGTGGGAGATTACTACGCCTGCGCCCGCCTCTCCGGGGCCCCGCTGCCGCCGAAACACGCCATCAGCCGCGGGATCGGGGTGGAAGGCATCGGCTGCCTCCTGGCCGGGGCTTGGGGGACGGGGAACGGCACCACGTCGTACAGCGAGAACGTGGGGGCCCTGGGCATCACCAAGGTGAGCCTCGCCGCGGCAGGGGGGCTGCGGTGCCCTGGCCCTCCCTGGGGGGGGGTTTGTACGATGGAGGGACCTGGGATGCGATCTTAGCCCACCTTCTGCAAGGCACGGGGAGGGTAAAACGTGTCCTGGCGCGTGGGCGACCACCGCGGCAGCGCTACGAGTCGTCTCATGGGGGCGGCCGGTCCGTCCCTTCGTCTGCTGGTGGTCTGCACGTGGGACGAGCGCGCGGCTGTTACCCACAGCACGTGGCTTTGGTGAGACCAGAGGGAGCGGGTCACACCTGAGCTACACCTGGAAACTTCCCGAGGACTGACTTTATCAAAGGCTATCCGCCTGTCTTTCTCTCCCTCTGTCTATCTGTCTTCCTAAATACATTTATAAAGAGGAGAGGAGAAGAAAAGAGAAAATAAAAGAAAAGAAAGGGAAAGAAAAGGAAAGAAAAGAAAGGGAAAGAAAGGAAAAGAAAACAAAGGAAAAGAAAAGATTTAATAGGGCTTCAAATCCAGAATTTTTATAACCCAAGGATGGCAATCATGTGAAAGGTAGGCTGTTTCTTTGGGATTATAAAATATGATGGCAAAGGTTTATGTTTTTACCTCTCTATAAAGTTTTGTGAATCCCTTCAGTATCTTACTGCTCTTACGAAGGAAAGAAATTTCCAGAGATAAGCTTGACAATCAGATGGTAGATTTTCGCTAAGCTTTACAGCCAGGGGGATGGGTACATCCGCCAGCCAACTGGAGAACATTTTAAAATCATTGTCAAATAAGCAATGTCATGTCAGCAGATCTGTGAGTCAGTAAATAGGTGCAGAATTTGACTTATGGCTCCCACTCTGTAATATTGCTTATTTCGCTGGATTTTATAAACCTCACTCACAATAACCATTTTTCACAGACTGAAGTGTTAGTGTTTGACCGAGGTGGCTGCTTCCAGCAGCAAGGGCTGTCTGGATGTCTGCGTGGAGTCCAGTTTAGTCTGTCACCACATGTACCTTGTCACTATGAAATCTGTGCATACTGACCACATTCCTGAGCCCATTCTTTCCTGACATGTAGTTTGCTGCATACATTGTGCCTATGGGATGTAGCAGAGTGCAGAAGTGCCCAAACTCACAATTATCAGAGTATAGGACGTGTTGGCCCCATGTAAGCTAGGTCCTTCATGTGGACATGCCATCCTTGCTGACTCAGGAGAGATGTTTCCCTTAGAGCCCACCTCTGCTCACTTTGTTCACACTTAAGAGAGCAGAAAATACAGTCTCATCCCAGTCAACCTTAAATCAGTGTAAAGACTCCGGCTGGGATAGATGGGGATGCTGAAAGCACAAGGCAGATTTTGTTTTGTTTTTTACATGGGAAACACATTTTTCAGTAACAAATAGAAATGCAAGGGACTTGTTTCCTCTGCTTAAGCAGAGGCGTCCAGCACCACCTGAAGCAGCTTTGGAGATCTCAGATATCCCCAGGGGCTGTCAGGTAAGGCAAGGAGAAGCTGCTGGAAGCTGCCACGGTGCAACATCTTAAATGGCACCAGGCACCTATACTTAAGCTGCTTGATCAAGCCCAGCATGCCAGTACTATGCTCTCATTTCCAGGAAAAGAAGAGGAGGATTTTAACGTGAGGTAAAGACCTCAGAGGCACCATGTAGATCGTAGGGAACTGTGCAGTTTCTTCGACCTTAAGAAAGAGAACTGATTTTCTTGTTTCCCTGATGTAATTGAAACAAACTCTAAACTAGAGGCTTTAGCAGCATATGCTCACAGTTGTGGTATCAGTGGATTTGCCTTTAAGGTCAACTGGGTAATTCGACATTCTGGCAAATTAAGAATCTGAATCTTCATTCTAATCCTGGAACAAATAGATCTGTTGGCTTTTATTGGATTACAGTTTTGATGGTAATGGTGTGCCAAGGTTTTAAGCCAAGGAATATAAAAAGCCCACCTGAAGGCAGTGCATGATTTTATTTTGAAATGCCTCACCAAATCTTTTTCATTTATCTTTCACAATCAAGTAAGACTTAAAGTATTTTAAAGGGACATGTTTAAGAAATACTTAAAAAGAGAAACTACTAGTTACTGGGAATGTTTTTGGTAAAAGCATTCACAAAAAGCCTGTCCTGTAAATATGACATTCTTCAGATATTTAAAGGGAGGGATTAAAATATTTAATTGAATTACAAAATGTTTGCAGAGGATTACAGAGTTTCCTTGCCTAAGACTCGAACGTTGTAAATCTTAGCATGACTCTTGAAGCTGTCCAAGTTTTGGTGTGGCGAGGCGTATCTTGAATTGAAAGTCTAATAAATATTGCTGCTTTTCTTTTTAGTTTCCATAGTCTGTAAATGTCTCTCTCATCCCTTTGTTTGGCAGATACTCTTTTTCTTTCCTATTCGCATGCTCTAACAGATCTGGATGAAAGGCATGGCTTGGTGCTTTGTCCTGTCTTTGTTGTAGTGCCCAACCAAGAAAAGGCCACCCTGGCTCTTCCTAGGGGAAAAAAATGAGAAAAAAGCGGTCTTGCTGAAGCTAGATGGGTGATGAGAGATAGGGACAGACCAAGAGACTTCTCTGCTTCTTATTAGCCACTTGTTGACCATGGAAAGGATATATCAGATCCCAGAGCTTGGGAGTGGAGCAGCCAGCCAACTCTGGTCTCCCAAATCTTGGTCTCCAGGGAATGGAGGGATTGGTGTGGGACACCTCATTGAAAGCCATTTTAGGATGGCAATCCAAACCCTGATGGAAGGGTCGTCTGGTGAATTGACTGGGTGCTTGCAGTGCCAGCCTGTGGATATGCCAAGACATTTCTAGGCTGGAGCGAGAGCAAAGCTGTGGGGGGGGATTACTGTGCTCTTAATAATACATTTTTTGTTTAACAGCAAACCGTTAAAGTCCTGACGGCAGTAGGAGAGAGGATAACACCAAGTAAATAGGTGTGGATCCATGATTGCTCTCGGAATGCCTTTCGTGATGAATATTTACTAGTGTGCAAATACTGGTGCTTCCCACGCAGCGCGAGCATCCCAGCTCGCCGGCGGCTGCACCTGAACCTGTGGCCAAACGTGCCATCGAGCGCTTCGGCCAGAGGTGCAGCCCCTGCCCGGCAGGCTGGCGCTGGAGCCCGCCGTCCCTCGCCTCTCCGCGCCGGTTCGTGCGCGACTGCCTCCTCTTCCTCTTGCCCCAGGTAGGGAGTCGAACGGTGATCGTTGCCGGTGCCTGCGCCATGCTCCTGGGCGGCATCTTCGGGAAAGTCGGGGCGATGCTTGCCAGCATACCCGCCCCCGTGATCGGAGGCATGTTCCTCGTGATGTTCGGAGTTATCACGGCAGTGGGGATTTCCAATTTGCAGGTAACAGCTGTGCGAGCGCCGGTTCATCCCCAGGGAAGGGGACTTTGGTTTCCAGTCAGGTTCTCACCAGGCTGAGTCAGGCGTAACCGCGCTGCAGCAAATGCAAACCCGTGCGTTGGCAGTCCCTTGGGTGAAGATGAGGGGACGTACCCGGAGGGGTTAAATCGCAGAAGGCTCCCTGGTCGGGGCAGGGTTTGCTGGCACCGGGGGCAGGAGGATCACTAACGCCCCAGCAGCACCAGGGCTGCTGCCCGGGTCCACTCCTGCGTGCAGTGTTTACACCCGAGCGTGTCTCATGAACACAACGGTAATCTGCAGATCTGGGTAATTCCAAACATAACGTATACAATTTCTCTGTGCAGTACACAGATATGAACTCCTCCAGAAATATCTTTATCTTTGGATTTTCTGTATTTGCTGGCCTCACGGTTCCCAACTGGGCAAGCAAAAATAGTACACTGCTGGAAACAGGTAAGAAGCGACATCAGACACATTTTCTGTACCATAAAACTGAAACAAAGGCCGATCCAAAGAAATCTTTTAAAATGCAGGTTTTTCTGATAAAACCCTGAAACCTGTGCTTTGCCTGTTGCCTGTTTCTTTCTGGGAGGGCTGTTCTTGCTCTTTGCTCTGATGCACAGCTCTGGTGTGGAAATCTCTGCTCTTGATCAGTGTCTGCACCTCGCCAGACTCCTGTTGGGCTAAGGGTTGCAGAGCCCTTCCCTGGGACATGTTCCTGGGTTGGGGCAAGAGAATACTCCAGGGCTGAATCCTGATCAAGATCTCAATGAACGAGGCTTTCTTAGCCGATCATACACAATAAAACTTTGTGCTACTGAAATGCAAGAGCAGACTCCTCTACTAAATTCCACCAAGTTCACGTTATTGAAATTTCCTGTCCTCCAACAGTTACCCCTTCATCGTGTTTTGTGTGACTAATGTGTTCCTCACAGAGGCCGTAGTGTCCTCTCTTAAGGTATATATGGCATGCTGGGTGGGCTGTTGAAAGACCTGGGCCCACAAATCACACACGCTATAGACAATCTATCAGATGCTCAGTGCCACTGAGCTTTGCTCCTGTCTCTTAGCCCTCATGGAGAAACATCACACCTGATTAACTTGTGGTGAAATCCCATGCTAAATATACTGGTATTTCTTTGGGAACTGAAGCTCCTGCTTTCATAGGGAACTGCTTGGTGGTATGTCGTGGAGGTGCAGAACATGTTTGGAGCAGAAGGCGCCTTTTTCTGGGGCAGTGCTGTGGTCTGCACTGTTAATAGGCTCTTAATGTATTTATGAGTCATCTCCTGCCCACCGGCAGCTGGGTCAGTGAATAATTATGCAGAATAAAACTGTAGGTCTGAAACTGGCAGAGAGAACAATCTCCCTTGCATTGCCAAATCTTTAAGCTCTGCTTTGGGATTCGCAAGTCTTGTTTAAACAAGCGTGCAGCTTGCAGCCTCTTGGCGCTGGGTATGTTGCTGGTCAAACATGCGTCTCCCTGCACCACTATCCAAAGCTTTATTTTTCTGCTAGGAATAATCCAGCTGGACCAGGTGATCCAGGTGCTTCTCACCACTGGCATGTTTGTGGGCGGACTCCTGGGGTTTATCCTTGATAACACCATTCCAGGTAGGATTTGCTGAAATGAGCTAAGCTACTAGTTTGTGCTTGCCCTAAGGTTTGTTTCCTAGTATTTTTTGTCTTCATGACTGCTGCTCTGTGGGTAGGAGTTGTGCTAGCAACCATGAAACACCATGTGACTGAGCTCTTCCCAGAGAGGGGTGAGGAACTGGAGACTGATCCATCACTGAAATGGTCTCTGGCTGGAAAACAGCAGCTTATCAAGAACTAACTCATTTTTCAGGAATGACCCAGTCTGGGGAAAACGTTTATTTAGGAAAAATGTCTTTTAGGGAAAATGCCAGCCTAGACCCATGTTGCTGGTTGAAAGGAGAGAGAAAGGCAACTACAAGAATGGAAGGAGCCAAGGCATGCCTCCTTGTGAGAGCTGCTGAAACTGGGGCTGAACTGGTGCCACAGCAGTGGAAAAGAGTAGGAAAGGCTGGTGACCAAAGATGGGATATAGCACCTGCAGCTGGCCCTCCCAGCCAGCAAAGAGCCTCTAATTTTCATCGAGCCTGGGGAGGGATGGCATAAGAATGGGAGAGGAAACCCTCTTTTCTGCTACATAAAAAGAGCAGGAAGGACACTCTGTTAACCAGATTCTTTGACCGTCTCGGGCTTCTTGGAAAGCCAATCTCCTTTTGGCTCATTAATTTTCTTGTAGCCCTTGATCTTCAGCTCCTCTGGGCAGAATTTACAGGTGTGCTTACTCCTTTTCCCAAGAGGGACGCAGCTGCTGCAACAATTACAGGCACTTAGCGATTCCTTGGCTAGGGTAAACGCCTGTGACTGACTAGTAATTGCGAGCTCAACCTTACTGCCCCACTCGGCAGTATCTGGGCAGTTAACATCCAGCCTTGCTTTCTTAGGACTGTATGAACACTCTCTTTGAACAGTTCTTGGATCCCCCATGGCTTGTGACAACCTGTTTTGGTATACTTGATTCCCATGGAAAGCAGTGGAGAAGACTGCTTATCTGGAAGCTGTTGCAGGAAGATGGGCATTGTTTAGAAGCTCATTAGTGAATTTTTGTAAAGAGCTTCGGAGCTAGAGGGGTTTAAGTGCAGGGGATCTGTATGTTGTGCTGGGTCTGCTGGGATCTGAGAAGTGGGCGTGAGGCACACAAGGCAGTCCTATGCCTGAACACCCCCTATTTTAAACACAAGGATCTCATTTTTGCTGTTGCAGGAACACAGGAGGAGCGGGGGCTCCTGGCATGGAAGCATAGCCACAGGGGAGAGGCGGACAACTCTCAGCTCGTTTCCAAAGTCTATGATCTTCCGTTTGGCATAGGTACCAAACACGGCGCTGTCTCTTGGTTTCGGTATCTCCCCGCTTGCCCCAAAAGACAACCTGGTGGCAAGAGAATGGATGAACTGAAGGATGCTGGACAGGAAAGCAGTGTTAAGGCAAGCTCAGAAAGAGACTCTGAGATAGGTGCTGATACAAGGATATAAGAACTGGCCTGCAGGTGAACTCGTCTCAGAAGCAGAGGTCTGAAAAGTGTGTCTGCAGCCCCCATCATTTGAACATAAGCTGGCAGCTGTTAGAGGCTGGAGCAGGAGAATGATAACGTCTTTCTCTTCCCAGCTCTGTCCCCTGTGCCACTGGTGACCACGAAGGAGTTATTTTTCTCCTCTCTGCTCCTGCCTGCCCACCACTAGGAAAAACATAATCCCTGTTGGGGAACACGAAAGCCCAAGAAATGCCCGAAAAAGATGTTCAGTCTCCTTCCTTGCGCTGAGCCTTGGGGACCCCAAGGAGCAGCCGTTCAGCTGAAGCAGAGCTCTTTCTGTCCCCTGCCCTGGCCGCTCAAGGGGCCACAGGAGAAGAAGGCATCCCCGACGTGGCATCCCTTGGGCTGAGGCCAATCCCCACCACCTTAAAGATCTGTAAAGGCAACGCTCACCTCTCAGCTTGTGGTTTACACCTCATCCTGGCCAAGGGGAAGGAGTGGCCACCTCTAGGTCGTGATTCATCTCAGTCCCTATTGCCATACTTTAAAGTCAGTCAAATGAATGTTGTTCTAAGAGAGGAGACTACAGTTAATGGGATGGATTGTCTTCTGAACGTGCCTCTCCCACCTTAGACCACAGAGGGAATCTAGAGGTCTTACTTAGGTTCTTGACCTAGCACAAAAGCCCAGCTTCACCGAAATGAGTCCCACCTGGGGTGCTGGGAGCAGTGTTGGGGGAGCCAGCTGCCCCAGGGCACCAAACCCGACAAAGATGAAAGAATCGTCATCAATGATGAAGGAGAAAAGTCTTCTGCTCACAATCTGATGCATCTCTGCTACGTCCTGTGTCCCTCCACTGTACCTGTTTGGTCTGGTGTGGTGACTGTGTGGTGACAACTACTTCTCTGGAAAATGGTTTGCAGATTCTTGCTCCTGTCCGCTATCAGCAGAAACAGCCTTAACCTATATGGCCATATATGATGTGATTGCACGTGGTGCTGGTTGCCGGTGGTGTGTGATAACACTGTTGCTGTAGCATAAGCTTGTGTTTCCTGCACTGAGATTTATACTTAGATTTTTTTTTTTTTTTGAAAAATAAATAAAATGTACAGTGTAATGATATTTCTCAGGGTGATTGCCATAGCAAGTGGCAGGTAGTATTCAAAGAATCGCAGGGTAATTCAGGTTGGAAGGGATCTCCGGAGGTCATCTGGGCCAGCCCCTGCTCAGAGCTGGTCCTGTTAGACCAGGCTGCAGAGGACAGTGTCCAGTGAGCTCGGGATGGAGAGCCATAGCCTCTGCGGGCAGCCTGTTCCTGTGTCTGACCACCTTCACGGTGAAAAGCGTTTTCCCTTGCGGCTAACTGGAATTTCTAATGCTTCACCTTGTGTCTGTTGCCTCTTGTCCTGTCACTGTTCTCCGATACAAATCTGACCCCATCTTCTCTGTGCCCTCCATCGGACAGCTGAAGGCCATGGTACAATGCCCCGTTCGCTCTCTTGTCTCAAGACTGAACAAAACCTGGTGGTTTCAATGAAAAGCCTTTATTCCTCATGCCTATTACAGTCCTGTTCTTTAGTCCCATCCTGCAGCTGTAGCGGTATGTGGCTTGTTTTATCGGTAAGTAATATATTGTTGGGGTTTTTTTTTGCTTTGGGAGTGAATGAAGCCTGGATAGATCAATTGTGTGAGCACTGGGATCCTAAGGGAGGAAACATTATGGTATAAAGTAGTTTGCTCCTACGGGCAGGTTGGGGTGCCTCCGTTGAAGACTGTGGTTGTTATGTCTTTGGGAGAAAAAATGATTTGTACATTTAAGTATATCTGATCCCACCCCCCATCACAGATTTAACAGAGATGGCTATTCCCAGGCATCTCAGCTCTGGTATCTTCTTCAACCTTGACTACGTCTCTAAGCTCCTTTAGAGCCAGCCTATGCTCCCAGGGGATCCGGCAGACAAACCCATGGTCTTACTCGTCATCACTCTCGAATGTACTTGTGCTGTAGCACGTGTGTGAAAGCCAGTCGTTAGTCTACATCACCCTCTTCCCCTGTGCTGTACTGAAGCTGCCAGGCTCCTGCTGGCCAGACCCGCCACACACCGAGGAGTGGTTTAGATGGGATCAGGATACACGGCTAATGAACGAGGTACGCGAGCCGCACCAACAGGGCCAAAACCTGCCGTACTACACGGCCTTCAGATGCTCCGTCTTCCATGCAAGACTATTTCCTCTGGTGCTATGGTTGGGATCCCCACACGGAAAAAGCAAGGTGGGAAGCACAAGCGGGGAACCCTCAGTAATTTTACTGGCTCTGTGTCAGCTCTGTGGAGGCTGCAGCCGTATCTTTTTGCTTCTCCTCGTAAGACATGTTAGGATGCTGGCAAGTGCCAGAGGTTTAGATTTGCTTTAGCCCTGTTAAAAAAAATAATATTGGCATAGGCTTCCTACAAAAATCAGTCTTCAGTTGGCTTTTTGTTCCCCACCCCAAGGATGGAGAACGCTGCCCTGCTCTCCCAGCCTGCTGCCGTGCCTGCGTCCCCATCCTGTATTTGGCTTGCAAGCTCCTCGGAGTAGAGCTGGGCATGACTTTACAGCTCCTGGCATGAGGGGGGGGCCCTCATCCCCAGGGGAGGCTCATTCCTACGCCAGCGCATCCTATGGCCCAGGAGGTGCGGACGGCTTGGGGGGGGAAGCTGTGTCTGCTGGTGCTAAGGCTTAGAAGGCAGTTTTTCAGAAGCTGTTTACGTCCGTATTTCAAGCTCAGGCTCCTAAACGTCCTTTAAAATCCCACCCTTTGGTGTGTTTGTTATATGTTTATAAAATATCCTTCTATTTGCCTCAGGGGGACATTTCCAAATTTTAAAACGAAGTAGGCAGGGGTTAGGCTGCGGGGCCACCACTCCTCCCAGCTTCATGTGGCCACTTGAGGTTTGGAAACAGCTTTGGCTTTGCACCGCAGGGACACAGCTTCTGCTTATTTGCTACTTAATGAAAATAAATGAAAATCAGAGGATCCTCAAGTGTAAAACTGAACACTTGAGGGCTGTCCCAGATTGCTTGGAGAACAGCCAGCTACCTGTCAACTGTATTATTACCCTTCGTGCTACTGTTGAGTCCCAAGTGCAGTAAAACTTACTGATTTCAACCAGGTGTGTGGTCACACTGCTTGCAGCTTTGCAGAGAGGCAGACAGCTAATTGGGAAGTCCAGGCAGATGCTCCTGCTGTTTTGGCAGAGGAGACCCAGTGATGGGTATTTGCTTTTACCTAGGTGCACTTGCTCCAGAACTAATCAGAGGCTCATTTTCACAGCTTTCTCACAAGAAGACGTGGCCTGGGCAGTAGGACTGCCCTATGTTACGCTCAATGTGTTGTAAAGTGAGGGGCTGCCACGCTGCAGCACAGCGGTCGTGTACTGGGTCCCACTCTGTCCTGTTCAGGCTGGTCCACCCAAACCCCTGCAACAGCCGTACTTCTATGGATGCATTCATGTTTCCCACTCCTCCCTCCCTGCTGCCTTTCTGCCTCCAACTCCTTCCCACCGCCCTGCCCCAGTAGCCTGCTAGCCTACATTTTCCAGATTTTTTTTCATGAAAAGTTTCCACCAGACCAACCACTGAGCGCACACGTAGCAATAACGCGCGCAGGAATTAAGGCTGCTTCCCTGCCAAGGCAGAGCAGCTATTGTCTGTGTAGTGTCAGCTCTGCAGGAGTGGAAACTGCCTTCCCACATCACAGGCAGGCCTGCACTCTTGTAAACTATGATCATGTGGCAGGAGGAGCCAAAGTAATGTGTTCTTCATGTTCTCCTTAATGTCATAACACCTCCCACAAAGCCTGCTACCATTTGGAGGAGTTATCATTTTCACACCTGTTGTTTCACATTAATGTTCAGGCCAGTCTTACACCTAAACTTCTCCTGGTGAAGCATCAGAAGCTCTCACGTGTGATGATCAAGGGAATGCATCTACAATAGTGTATGGTGTCCATTTAAAACTGTCTCCCCTGGTAGATGGCAGGCTGAAAGTCATCTGAAAATGAAATATTCTACTGTTTTAACTTCTGTTCTGGACTGGCCTTCAAAAGGGTGGGGATGAAGGGCTAATAAGAAAAGGTTGTTAACCCTTGAACATTACCTACTCACATCGCTGTCCTACGGCACATGCCAGTATTGCCAAGTTTGACCTCAGCTGATGCAGTAATTAAGATGGACATGGTGAAAGAATCATTAATGTAACAAACCTGACCAAACGTTGTGTGGCAAATGGAACTGGAGGTGAGAGAACTCTGTATGATTTCTACAGCTAAAAACTTGTAGAAAAAATATCCTCAGTCCTGAGAAAAACTAACATATTTCCCTCCAAAACTACACAAAGATAAGAAAACATGGGCAGAAACTTAATGTAAACACTTACTACTGTAGGTACATATATATATATGTATGTCTCTTGTACTAGCTAAAGGAAAGAATGATTTCACCTTGGATCCCCTGCAAAGTCTATACCTGTATTTCAGCCAGCATGTGTCCTAAAAGCCAGATTGCCCAGGGAATGCACATGCTTGGTATTCTGGAATTCGAGGGAGAGGAGGAGGAGAGCCAGCATTGCTTATAGCCTCAGAACAATGATAGCCTGTACACAAGAAACACACTAGAAATGCCAGGGAAAGGCAAGGCTGCACCTGGAGAACTCAGAGGGGCTCTTAGACCCAAACAGCATCTACAATTAGGACCCCCACTTCCAACCACAACAGCCTGGCAAATATCCACCTGGGAGTGCTACCACAGCCTCAACCGCAGGGACAGAAGGTGCTCTGGAGGAATTATTCTCCCCTTGTACTTCAGTACTAGGCTCCAAATGTGTTTGCTTGAATACAGCTGCATGTAGCATGTTCTTACGCACCAAGGCAGAGCTGTGCCACAGCCCAGCCCTCTTGGATTCAGCCTAAAAGCCTGGCTGCTGTAGACTTGATGGATACCTGGGCATGCCAGCTTTAGTTTA